CTTGAATCACTCTATCTATTAAAAAAACCCGCATCAAAATCCGTTGCGTAGTTTCAAAGATTTAAGCATACAAAGGGACATAGGGATAGAGAAAGCGACTTTGTTTTATACTATGTAGTGATTATTCATTTTTTTTTCATATATAAGATACTTCGACCAAAAATACGAATTACTTACATTGAGAGAAAATCATTATATGAAATATGACAAAAATGTATTAAACCAGGATGTCTTAGATACTAATCATCCTACGCGCGTCATAAAAGTCAAGGTTTCGTCTTATACTTTGGCGACATGCCGCTAAACTCTCATTGTTTAGGGCATTGATCTTAGTGACACAAAGATCCGTGATTGTCTCACTGGTTCAGAGGCACTTGTCCCACTTGATAGTTTTATCGCTGGGCTATAAGGGAATGTGCGAGTACAACGGGCGATTACCCGCGCCACTTGCTCACTGTAACCATCCTGAGCAAAATCACACGCGCACGTATTGGTGATGGCCAAGAAACCATCGCTGAGCGAGTATTCTCTTCTCTTTTCTCTTGTCGCTCAGGGACAAACTAGTGGAGTGACTTCTTGCCGGTAGTGTGAACAGTCAGCGATCAACTATTATCATCATCAGCCTCTCAATGTCCCCACTGCTGGGGCACAGGCCTTCCCTATGGATGGAATAGGGAGATTGGGCCATGACCCACCACGCGGGCCCAGTGCGGATTGGCGGGTGCTAACGACTGCAGATGCAACCGGGACCAACGGCTTAACGTGCCTTCCGAAGCATGGAGGAACTCGAGATAGAAATTTTTGGTCACCCATCCAATGACCAACCACTGCGAAAGTTGCTAAACTACAATGATCGCAGCCGAACGCGCTAACCACCTGGGCCATCGAGCTCCTCAACTATTAATATATCTTTTATTTACATGGAATTTATATCTTATGTACGTTTCTTTTCTTGAGCGAGTAAATAGCCGACAGTTAGTCGCTTCCTCGCCAGCGGTGGGACAACTGCCTCATACTGGATTTGAACCAAATCTGTATCAAAGTAACTTTCCACCAGTAAAGTCCCATTTTTAATCCACCAAGGGTTGGACAACATTCGAGATAAAACTATTTTTTATTGTAAGTAAGTAGTAAGTAAATTTTTTCGGAGCTTATCTAGGACAAATAAATATTTGTAACATGGAATTTTTGTATAAGCTATACATAAGAAATAATTTATGATCGCTAGTAGATTTTACGCGATTTTTTATTATTATGATTCTAGCAAATAATTCCACGCCACATGACGTTAATTTGAGTTGATGATGAGTTTACTAAGATGAAATCCTAGTCCTTGACTAGGAAAACAAGCTATTGCAAACCTAATTGACGCCATATTTCAGGAGATACAATACTAAAATTGGGTTACACGACAAAATTCTAGATGCGAAATTAACTATTCAATAACATTTCCGACAAAACTATTCAAACTTCAATCTTGAGGACGACAGCCACGGCCAGACAGTCTTCATTTACCACAGATTAATACCTCAAAAGCAAATCTACGTAACACTCGAAACAATTAACTTCCACTATCAAAGTCATCTGAGTCAGCGTGGGTCATCTACGCAAGTAATATCTGAATGCAATGACCTATTGTTCCTAACCGTACGAACCGCGCTACAGTCACGGCTGCTACCATATTGGCATATTGTAGGCCTTATATGGCCTGTACCTAATGACCTACGACATTTCAACCGGTGGCTCCGTCCCTATCGGACCCATTGTGCGTGAGTGAGACGGCGCACCACCATAATAGAATATCAGTTTGTTTTATTCGATTTGTGAGTCGATTCTGTATCTACTGGTTTCTCATAATGCACCTTTAGTTCTTTCTTTGTTACGACCAAGTTCCCATAGGAGCCGGGATTTCATACATTTGAAAAATGTTTTTTTTTATTATCTTTGAGTTTATATTTATTATCTATGGTAGTTTTAACCGACCGATGGATCTAGTAGCAGCGTGAGTTGTAATACTTCTGTTATGATGATATTTTCTTTTATTGAAATTTTAAAGTCGATTTTCTCCAGTACGTTTCAAACATTTGGCTTAGAATGTTAAATCCACAATGAGAAATACTAGTCCATTTTTTTAAATTTTGAATGATAAATAAATTTACTTTCAAAGTACAATATCCCGACATCAAACTCTCAAAATCCCAACTAAAAACATGTCCATACCACCTACTATCGAACTCATAATGTTTATACAGCCTAACAAGACTTTTCATTTCCAATTACAATGCTTTTACCAATAACAGCATTATAAAAAAATTATATACTCTCAAAAAAGTGTCCAATTACCGAAGAAAGTGCACTTAATCACGTGTCCTTAGTACACATAGGGCCGAAATTACTGGTGCGTTGAAAACAGTAATTTGTTTGTAAAGCTCGCAACAAGAATAGCCCAGTAAACGCCGTGGATCACGTAATGTTACGACGTGTAATTACGTTTATCGATTATAGAGTATGACATTGATTATCACATGGGTAATGTAATTGAGTGGTTCGTACAGAATTTCGCCTGTGGCCGTTGACAAGTGTGATGTAAGATTTGGAATAACTAGAGCACGGTGGCTTTCTTCCGAAATGAAAAGCGCTATGTTGCAGCAACGAATATAGTATTGTCATTCATAATTCTCTCCCCTTTATCATCATCATTAGATCATCAGCCTATTAATGACCCCACTGCTGGGGTACAGACCTTCTCTATGGATGGAATAGGGAGATTGAGCTGTGACCCACCGCGCAGGCCCAGTATGGATTGTTGGTTGCTAACGACTGCAGACGCAGCCAGGAGGAGGAGCTCAAGATAGTAAACCTTTTTGGTCACCCATCGAATGACTGATCATTTCGAAAGTTTCTTAATTTCAACGATCGCAGCCGAATGCGCTAACCACTTGCGCCATCGAGCTCCTCAATACAGATACTTTTTTTGGAATGAAAACGTAGGCTTCAAAGTAAAAAGTTAATATTATCCTTTGAAAATCATAGTCTTATCAGTACCGCTAGCACGAACCAATATCGAATTCGTAACATTTGCGAGTCCGAAATGTCATTGTCAAATGTATACTGGTTTTTTATTAGTTCTCGTTACATACTTTCGCTGCTATTCAAGTTTCCATACAAAATTTGACATTGACATTTTGTACTCGCAAACTTTTCGAATTCGATATTGGTTCACGCTAGGGGTACAGAAGACTGTTTGCAATCCAGTTTAACGTGGCATATAACGCTTATAACGCGCATAAAATCCAAAAAAGGTTACTGAGCTAACGATTTAAAGAAAAAATTACCTAATTTAGCCTTTATTGTTTTCTCGATAAGAACTGTTAGTTGTAAAAAGCGGTAGTAAGCTCCACCCATGCCCAAAATGGATGAGAAATCCATGTCTATTGGAGTACGGGTCAAGAATGCTAATGGCGGAAATTAGCACTCCAAGTTCGGTTAACTTTTTAGCAGCAGCACAACAATGGAATTTTGTACAACGAATAACGAACTGTGATTATCTTAAAACTATGTGAACTATCCGCACTTGATTTGGGTGTTGTAATTATTTAATCAACAAGAGACTCCTCTAAATGTATTAGGTATGAAATTCTGAGAATGTATAGAGATATAACTAGAAAAAAATCCACGCGGACCAGGCAGCAGACGGGACTCGAACCTGCACCCTTCGCAATCCGGGCGACTGCAATGACCAATTATGCTACCGCGGCCCTCACGGACCGCGCCAATAAATAATTCCTCTAGCCATTCTTAAGCAGCAAGGCAGCGCCATCTCTTCGCATTATAGGTAACCCACAATGTCAAATGAATACTTTTACAAGTACGAAACTATACTTTCTAGATAGATTTTCTTTAGATTTAAACATCAAGCAGTTACATGCTTAAAAAAATATAAATTATAATGTATAGAGATGTCAGTGGGTGCCCGCGACTTAGTCTGCGCGAAAAAAATTGGTTTCCCAGACAAACTTCCACCCTGCTTTTCGATCCCTTTCAGAGTGATTTCTAGGATAAAAACCTATCCTATGTCCTTTTCCGGGAGTCAAACTATATCTATATCAAATTTCATCTAAAACGGTTTAGCGGTTTAAACGTGAAAGGTAACAAGACAAGCACATTTTCGCTTTTGTGATATGTTAGTATGGGAGCGCTCATCTAGGCAAGTAACCTCCACCTTATACCACTACCTTTCGGTGGTGCTGTTTCAGTGTCGGCGGGTAAGGTTCCTGGGCTCCGCGGGGTAGGGGATTGGGTCAGGGTAGGCAACGGTGCAAGTCATATTTTTTTTTATATCACAAGCGCCTTGGTGGCCACTTACCATTAGGCAGGTCATATGCTTGTATGCCATCCTTGAGACGTAAAAAGTATTGACTTTTTACTTTTGGGCAATATCAACATCTGGTACTCGATTTGATTCCCTTCACGTTTATCGTATTCGGAGTGGTTCCAGTAGAGGCAGAGAGCCGAGCACCATAAAACATTTCTCTTCTTTTTTAAATATCTTCATTGTTCCAATTTCTATAAACGAAGAAAAACATAACTACGTATATAATGTTCTTTCAATTCACACTCTAGTTGGCATCATACATAAGCAAGTATGTACTGACCTTCGCTTTTATGCTTCGACAAAATCAAATCTGAATATAGTACGTATGACATAGCATAATATTACCCACATACACAATTGTCTCAAAACAAAAGTGGGGTAAGCACAAATAAGAATTGGAATGAGAAGAGTAAACTCTCAAAATTGAGGAAAAAAGGAAGAAAATTTTTGGCCCTCGATGGCGAGGAGATTAAACGACGTAGTAGTTTCTTCGGTCAAGTTTTTGTGGCTATAAACAAATACAAAGAATCGATCGCCGATTTTCAGTTCAAAAATTTATATGCCCGGCTGTAATTTTCTGTGACATTCATAAAATAAAAATATTCATTTATTTTTCCGGTTACAGGTACTGCGTGGGGTGGTAGAGCGAAGTGCGGAGCGCGTCGCTAATGATGAGAACGGGCGGGGCGCGGGGGGACGCTAGCCACGGCGTGCCGCACCACACCAGCAAACATGTTCACCAGGTATTTTTAGTTTAGTTTAGTTTTTCAGGGCGGTTTCCGCACTTAGTCCTAATTATTGGACCGTGCGTGTCTCAAAAACAGCCAGCCTATATTGGTCCAGAAGGAAAGCAGCCTTGGTAGACTGCTGCAAGCTTCCAGAAACGATTCTGGCGACTGGAGAAGCCGTGCCCGTTGATCGGCCACGCTCCTGCATTCCATGATGACATGCTGTGGCGTTTCTTCTGCCTCCATGCATCCTCTGCATAGATGGCTGTCTGTTACTCCTATTGTATATTGGTTTTTGTTTAGGGGACAATGACCAATCAGGGTTCTTATAATCCTACGAAGTTTGTCCCTATTTAGTCTGGTAAGGGTGCGGGAAAAACTTTTATTTGCCGCTGGCACTGCGTTTTTCGTTTGCATCCTTCACCTGCTTTCTACTCTGTCAAGTGTGATTTCTGAGTTATTTTACGCAGCCACGTTTTAATTTGGGCCTGAGGTATGGGCAGCAAAGGTTCCCGACCATACACTTTTGTGTCTGCTCCCCTCTTAGCCAGTTCGTCTGCTGAGTCATTTCCAATTGAGCTGCTGTGTCCTTTTATCCATTGCAGAGTTACCGTGTTGCTTACCGCAATGGATTGAAGTGCCTTGTGGCACTCCATTACTAGCACAGAGTTTATCGTGTTGCTACGTAGGGTTTGAAGCACGGATGTACTGTCAGAGATGATCTTGATGTTAAACTCTGATATCTCAGGCTGCAACCTCCTGTACCGCTCTGGTAATGCCGATACAGGCGGAATGCCGCCTGGAAGATTGTGCTTTGTTTGCCTAAGGTTGTAGATATTTTTATATTCAGGTCGTTTGAGAAGCCACCGACTCCAGTACCAGTGTTGGTTTTGGAGCCATCCGTGTATATCCTAACTTCCCCGGCGCCAGAGTAATCTGCCTTTTCCGCGGTAAATTGGATATTGTATCTTCGATTAAAGACGTGTTGACTCAATATTCTATCCATAGGTGCCTCCAGGAGTGGGATCTCCTTCATGCACTTTTGTAGAATATTGGAGTGTGTTCTTACAGTATTTAATCTTCATAATCCTAGAGACTTTAGTCTCAAGGCTGTTGCTTTCGCCTCTTCTTGTATGACCGAATCCAATGGTCTTAAATTCATGAGGTACTCTAATGCAGCCGATGGAGTTGTTCTCATGCATCCAGTTGCTGCTACGCTCGCCAGTTCACCAGCTATAAGTGAACACTACAGTGATAATGATGAGAACGGGCGGGGCGCGGGGGGGACGCTAGTCACGGCGTGTCGCATCACACCAGCAAACATGTTCACCAGGTATGCGTCTTTATGTGAACACTACAGTGCCACAGCGCTAATGATAAGACGAGAGGGGCGCGGGTGACGCTAGCCACGGCGTGCCGCACCACACCAGCAAATATGTTCACCTGGTATGTGAACACTACAGCGCTTATGTTGAGAACGAGGTATTGTGACGTTATAGCGATATATAATGCGAATGAAAATCTCTACTCAACTTAATTTAATCAATGTGTCTGAGCACTGAGATTAATGAATATATATTTCAAGTCTTTAATTAGAAGGATTAAAACAAGCCCACTAAATAGATATCGGTTTAATAGATTGAATTGATTCTTGGTTTATACCTAGTAAGTAAACTGAGTCACTAAATCTAAAAGGCATATTGTGCTAATTAACTAACTTTCCGCATATCAACTACTAGCACAACAGCACGCGTCATATTCCATCTTATTTACAACTCATTTAGACCAATTGTCGAGAGAAATGTGTACGATGTGACGTACCGTTTCACAACATTGTAAAAGATTTGTATTGACTTTGTACCTGAAACGTTTACAGACTGACGTATGATATGTTAATCTAATTTGACGTAATTAATACCTAAATGCCTTATTGACTGTATGTCATGGGTCTAGAGCGTGTTATAGGATAAAACGTACGAATTATTTCCATTCAGCTGCTGGAGCCATTGAAAAGTCGAACATTTTGCGGTTTGAGCTTTCTTCGCAACTGGACTCAAAGTAGTTTTTAAACAGAAGTGTTCTGAAATAAATTGGGTCATATTGAAATGGGACATTTTGTTGGTACTCAATTGAGCGGTACTTAGCACGTTTGTTCTGCGATCGTGGAACTTAAGTACTATCGCAAAGGCCGGTCGGTAGGGTGACCGAAAATGTTCGATCCCGAATTCTTTCGTATTTCGGATAGCAAGCACGTTTGTCGATTTTCAAGTTAAGTTTTTTTATGTAAAAGCCACCTGATGGTAAGCAGGCACTATGGTGCCACTATGGTGCCTGCTTACGCTATGGCGTATAGACGCTTGTGATACCCTGAGCCAATCCCCTACCCCGTGGAGCCCTGGAACCTTACTCACCAACAGAAACACAACGCCACCAAAAGGATGGAATTGATCTGGAGTCTTTATTTCATGAGGCTTCAGAAAATACTTAAATAATTTAGGTACTATAAACCCCAGTCCAAAATTCCACTTATTTAAATTGTCTGATCCATTTGATAAAAGCCCTTTTCGCTCTGAGTGCATACCCAACTACTTTATTAAATCTATTTTCCTAAATGACACGTTAATGTTGAAATGGCGATGACTTGCTCTTATGTCCGATCCGAATCGACGCAAGCGCAGCGAGCTAGGAGCGGACGGCTTACCAACACATTCCCGAAATCCAAATGACAACCATTACGTTGAATGGAACGAAATGATGGCATGGTTAAGTAACCTCTTTCGACTTAGGTGTAAGTGCTTACATATTTCATTTCTATAGATAGCATGTTGATAGTTGTTCGTTTTTTTTGGTATATTTAAAGAAACTGACATTTCCCTATCGCTCGTTACTGTGACTGAAAATACAATAGAGATATATTCTGAATAGAATAAAGTAAAATAGGTTGTGAAACATAAAATATTATACCTCCTTATAGCGAACCGTCCAAAAATCCTCTATCTCGAGTTCCTCCGTGCTTCGGAAGGTACGTAAAGCCGTTGGTCCCGGCTGCATCTGCAGTCGTTAGCACCAGCCAGACCGCACTGGGTTGCGTGGTGGGTCATGGCCCAATCTCCCTATTCCATCCATAGGAAAGGCCTGTGCCCCAACAGCGAGGACATTTATAGGCTGATGATGATGATAGCGAACCGTATGCTTCGTTATGCCTGTTTTAAGACTATTGAATCTCCTTACCAAAAATAAATAAAAATATCCACATAAATATGAATACACAATGCTTTGTTATAATTTCACGGCGACAAATGAGGACAAGTTCTTTAGGAGATTTGAAGTGATCTCGATTTGTCCGAAAAATCTCATCCACATCCTGATTGAAATCTTTTTCAAACGTCCTATCTTTCTTCGGTCCTTTCTATGCCAACTCGATTAAAATCCATCTTCAAACTATACTTTTCCTTAGTTAAGAAGTCTAATACAATAGTAGCTTGCATTATTTAAGTATGAAATGATGTCTTAAATGTCAGAATAACTCAGATTCAATCATAATCAATATCTGGATCGACACATACGCGAGTTCCAAATCTCTAAATTTCGCAATCTCAATCAAACGACGTCGAATCTAAAACCCAAAATAGATTGATCCCCGATAAATACACCAGCCAAATATTTGACTAGAAGAGATTCCATTGTAACACAACTCCGTCTTCGATACGTAAGCAAATTGATGCGGCGGCATACACTACTGTGTGCGCTGAAGACCTGTTGTGAGAACATCTAATGGAGTGAGGTATTGTATGTCTAGTATGATGTTAAATGACAAGTTTTGGGTTTCGGAGTGGGCGCCCAAATCGCATCAAATCCATCGGTCGTCATTTATCATGGCTGTGTACTATAATTGTACAGACATCGCTGGCACGGCACGTGGTACGATGCTCCAGATGATACGAGTAAGCCGATCAGTGAGAGTACTTAAGCACAAAAGTGCTTAATTATATTCATATTTCATTCAAATTATTACTGTCAGTGCGAGTAAATCTTTAGGAAATTATTAGCATGGAAATTTACAATTTAGAAGACCGTTTGTTATTTTGTAACCTAATAAGATTAAAATGAGTTTTGAAATAAATCTATTCGGATTCTTATTAGCAGATTAATATTTTTAATGGTGATTTTTGAGCTGTTCGTCCTTTTAATGTAAAAGACAAGAATTAGACAGCAAATTATTCTAAATAAAATAACTTTGCCCGCATGAACTGAATGGCAAATTTCATAAATTTATTTATTGAAGCTTACAGCGGATAGGCCAGAGTCGTTAGTCTAATCAAATAAAAGACTCGAGTAAGGAATCATTCAAACTATGGTAATAATAACTTTTCGATTTTATTCACTTTCGTTCTCGACCGTACATACATAACCCAAACGCGCATGTGACATCTTGACATTTAAGTTGACAGTTGACAGCCGCGGTGTTTTGACACAATCACATGTTAATGAACCGGATCGTTCTAATTAAATCATTGTGTTACCGCTAAACCCATTACCATGGATAATGCACGCATTACATTAATTAACACACATGGATTTGGTACTGTATCTATGTTTCTTTATTTCTATATTATGCGGCCTTAGATCGTTTAATCTATTTCTATTATCTTTTCTTTTTTAGGTATTGAAAGAAACTATGAAATATTTCTATTACAAATATTATCTCATGCTCAATATTTACAAATATTTCTTAATCTCAATAGCTTCGCGTATAATCCTAGTTATGAATCGTTGTTCAGTTGCAAGGATTTGTGGTTTATTAAATCACTGCAGACACTCTTCAATAAAGTTTTAAAGATCTTCCAATGAAATATCCGAAAGCTCAATAAAAGTCTTTCGAAGGTAGCTCGACAAAGTAAATAAAATCATAATTCTGACGACGCAGCTTGAAAAGGATGCGAAACGTCATAAAATTAGTGCATCTAACCCGTTCAAACTTGTTTTATTTATATAATAGTACTAACTTACTCTGT